GCATAAAATGAAAGGAAAAATCTTCTACCACATACCTGTAGCACTTATTATTATAATAAAGTAAAAAGAAAGGATATCCACATAATTTCGCCGTATTAGTACTGGCCACGGGTGGTGAACGACGTGGATTGTGGCGGCTTTCCTTATCTGTTATATATATGGACTAATTAATGTGTTTACTTTATTAAGGTAGTGGACCTAAATATTTGATAACCTAAACCTTTTGTATGGATTTCCCTGTCTTGATTAATGAGTTCAAGGTAGTGGACCTAAACCATATATGTAGGACATGTTGAGATATTCAAGTGTGATGAGTTCTACATTGGTTGATAATGAGCTAAGTGAAGAGTATATAAGTGAAAGGACCCATGAACCCAATGCCTTAAGGTTTTGGGTTGAGACATGGTGTCGGATCCACTTGCTACGGTTGGTGTAGCCGTAGCTCATTGGTGGTGCCCCCGCCACGGGCTTCCCCTGGACCCGCTTGACATTGGAGTTTGAGGGAACGAATTTCTCAACAGTGGTATCAAAGCCCGAGTTCGACGAGTTCTGAGGGAGACGAGATGGAGACCAATGGCATAACCAATGATGGAGACATGTTCAAGTTGACCGCAGACAACTTCACTTATTGGAGACCGATGATGGAAGATCATCTCTACTGCAAAGATCTATATGAGCCATTACCCTTGATGAGAGACCGGCAGGCAAGACCGATAAGGAGTGGGAGATCCTGAGTCGGAAAGCGGTAGCCACGATCAGGAAATATATTGATAAAAGCCTCTTTGAACACGTGTCCGAATTCACGAACGCGTATGAGTTGTGGATGAAGCTGGAGTCCATGATTCAGAAGAAGACTCCCAGGAACAAAGCACACCTGGTTCGCCGACTTGTTAAGCTTGAATACAAGGACGACATGAGCATGATTGAACCTGAACACCTACAAAGGTATTGTGAATCAGCTGTCAAAGGCTGATATGAAAATTGATGAAGAATTGCAGGCATTGCTGCTGTTTAGCTCGCTGCCAGAAAGCTGGGATACTCTGGTGGTGACCCTGAATAACTCGACTCCAGATGGAAAATTGAAGATGGATGTCGTGACAGACAGCCTCCTGGGCGAAGAATCCAGGAGAAGAGAACGTGGTACTTCGAGTACGTCTGAGACCAACGTTGCTGAGAACAAAGGGAAATCTGACTCCCGGGGTAGAAGCAAAAGCAAGGATAGAGGTCGTGACAGACGAGAAAAGTCCAGAGGTCGGTCAAAGCCGAAATATGAGTTGAAGTGTTTTTACTTATTCATTGGAGAAGATTTTCCCACGTTAAATCTGGTTGTGTTCTTCTTCTCTCTCTCTCTCTCTCCTGTTTTTCGTTTTGATATTTCCGCTGCGCTTCCCGTCCTGGTGAAGTTCAGGCCGAGGTATTGCCGAGATCCGAGATCAGGATCTTGTTGATTGACTTCCGCACAAAGGCTGCTTAGCCGAGCTTGAGGGAACCGATATTTCCCAACAGTGGTATCAGAGCCGGATTGGGCTCGAACTAGCCTAGTGATTGGCTAGGAGACGGGTCGAGTACTTTGCGCTTCGGGTACTCGGTTGAGTGGGAGCATACCAATGGTGGGTTTCACACTTGAGGGAGAGATTGTTGAGATATTCAAGTGTGATGAGTCCCACATTGGTTGGTAATGAACTAAGCGAAGAGTATATAAGTGAAAGGACCCATGAACCCAATGCCTTAAGGTTTTGGGTTGAGACATGGTGTCGGATCCACTTGCTACGGTTGATGTAGCGTTAGCTCATTGGTGGTGGCCCCCCGCCACGAGCTTTCCCTAGACCCGCTTGACATTGGAGTTTGAAGGAACAAATTTTCCAATAGGACATTTCCTAATATCAACCGGTAAGATTTGAACATGATAAGCACAAACACAGAGAGAGTATCCAATGAATGATAGTATATAAATGTAATAAAATCAATGGAAAAAAAAAGAACGTGCCAGACAGTATTTATAATTATAATGAAAGACATAAGGGGAATTAAGAATGAAAAAGAAGAAATATCCAAGTGTACTTAAAAAGGTGACATCATGCTAATACATTTGCTCAAAGTAAACACGCTTCACAAATGACACATTTGTAGTAATTAGTGAAGTGACCTCCTGCTCATGTATTTTGGTACGAAAAAGAAGGAAAAGAAAATAAGAAGCTGTAACAAATAAGCACCATCAGTTGTAACTTTTTTCTCCATAATAATTTTTTTTATAGAGTTATCCAACCTTAATTACTTCTTTGAAGAGAGTTGGTTTTCTTCCGGTATCCTCACAAGTTTCGCCGGCTATTTAAGCTCCTTCCAAAAGTAACATATGAGGATTGAATTCAGACCTTTTCTTTTTCACTACTCAATTCTCTTACTACCATCAGAACTATAAAAAATACTACTTTAAACACTACAAGACATAACACATTCAATGACCATTGACACCTTTGGTGGTAACTCCATTCCGGACTTTCAATCTTATGTGGCTCCACGTTGTCTGTGGTCACCAACTTTTTCCTAGCAATTAAGCACAGGCGAAGCGAGGGGGGATATTTTTATATTATGATCCCCACAACTTTTGTAATTTTTTTATTGTACTCTTTTATATGGCTCCTATAAAATAATTGAAGATGCCCTCACCCTACCAAAAAAAGAAAAAAAAAAGATGCCCTCGAATAGCATGCTGCAAAACACGTAAATCTTAAACTAAAGATGATATGTACAGCTAAGATCAATATTTCATGTTTGGCAGGATGTTGTTTGAGGTTGAGGCATCAATCCAATCATAGCCAACTCCCTTGTTCATTTGCTCTTTTAATTTGTCTCCACGGAATGAGTTGTGTGCATAATCATGCAAGAGAAAGATATGTGATTTCAAATGTTCTTTTTTTCTATACACGTTTGTGTATGAAATTGCCATCAAATCACATGGTACATGAACATAACTGTGCGATATAGGGGCTTTTTTTTTGTCATCCAAAGCATTCGTAAGAACCCATTTCTCATTTCGTCTTTGCCCAGACTGAACGTATTTATTTCAAGAAAAATAAAATGGATTTTGCCAATATCTTTATTAACATTTCACTCTCTTGAATATATTACCAATAAAAGTATTAGGACCGAACGAATACACACAATCGAGCCAAACAGAAAAGAGAGAAGGAAAAAAATAAGGCAGACACATTTATTTTGGTTCAGTTAGTCTGAGCTATATCTAAGAATATTTTGCTATATTCTCTCGGTCTTCACCACACTCGTTATAAAGCACTTTATTTACAAAAAAAAATATAAATAGGTTTAAAAATTTTAAGTAACAATAGTTATTTTTGGTCTCAAGCCCAAATTATTAAAAAAGAGAAAGAAAAAAAAAACTTGAGACCCACAATAGCATTAAGGTTCCGCGGCCCCGACCTCGACCCCGACCCCGACCCCTGGGAGCACGATCCCCTTGGCTTTCATTGCATTCACCAGAGTTATTGTCTGAATGCGAAGTATGAGTCATATCCAATATGTTATGCTTGGAATGAAAATATATCATAAGCTAGAAGACTGTTTAGAAATCTACAATAACTAAAGTGATCATGTGGACATCAATGGTGTCTGGATATTTTCATAATGGAATGTTGGATGAGGCAAGAATTCTTTTTAATGAAATGCCTGAAAAGGATGGGATTTTTCACATTTCGATGTTTACTTGGTATGCTCGTACGTACCGGTCACTATGAAGATGCTTTGTACATGTTTGTGTGGTAATGAAATGAGATGGAGAAAGTTTAAATAGGGACGCATGTAGTGTTGCTTTGAGCACAACACAAGTGCTAATATTAGTGCTTTGGAGTTAGGTAAACAAGTCCATGGGTAGGTGGTGAAGACGAGATATGAGACTGAGTATTCCGTGGGTAATGCACTTCTTGTAATGTATTTTAAGTGTGGCAGAAAGCTAATGATGTATTTGAAGGAATAGAGGAGAAACACAGGGTCTCTTGGAGCAAAATATGTTAGCTGGTTATGCTAGACATGGATTTGCCATAGAGTCTTTAATGGTATTTGGAGCAAAATATGTTAGCTAGTTATGCTAGACAATTAAGAAACATAACGAGAGATTAGGAGAGAGACTTTAATATTTTTTTTTCTTTTTTAATTGTGCCATTGTTCCACAGTTATTTAGTAACATACAGCAAATCACAATCGAAATCCTAATTTGAATTAGAATCCATTGATGAGATGATATAGCTAATTCTAAACAATTAAAATAAAAATAAAATAAGTTTATAACTAAACATTTAGGATAAGGAAATAATTATGAATTATATAATCTCTTATCATTTACACTCCATTGCTTACACTTTTTACTTGAGTGAAGGAGTAAACGCATATGCAACGTAACATCCCTTTCTATCCAATGGAGCACATGAAGAAAACATGTTCTACCCGTACCTCAATCAAAAGCTCATAACTTGTCTAGGTAAACATAGTAAAAGAAAATATAACATGACAAAAATTATTTTATTTCATTCTATTTAATATTTTTTCTTTAATTTATTAAGAGATGTAGGATTAAACTAATTTAGTATTTATTAATTTTTTTGGAATAAATTATTCTAGCTCACCTTTTTTTTTTTGGTTACCTAATTTATCTATTTATCTTTTTAATATTATTGAATCAAAATCTCAAAAGAAGAGAGAAAGAATGAGATTTTGATCCAACAATATTAAAAATGAGTAGGGAAAGTAGACAAGTAAAAAGATAAGTAGAATATCTTATCTCTAATTTTTTTACCATATTATCTACGTCTTAAATAAAAAATAATTTTTTTAATTTATCATAAAATATTGAATAATTTAAATTTATTTTATCACATCTTACTCAATTTCATTCTAATCCACGTGTATTGGCATTATGCGTAACTCAAGTCCTATCTCCAAACCATGACCAGACACGAAAAGAGTCCTGGATTGATCCAAAGTAATCTTTTATAAAGGTATCGCACGGTGCAATATTGTTGTAGTCACAAGCAGAGTCACAAACACAATCTTCTTCTTCTTCTTGTGTCTATGGCTGCGGAGCAGGGTGATGGATGCTCCTCCATCTGCGTACCCCTTCTGGGTGATGAAAAAGTGCATCAACTGAATGACTCAAATATTGACGATGTGGCCAAAACTGGTGATCTACACTGCACACTTCATGTGGGTAACACGTCCTTTTTCAAGACCTGCTTCCATCTTATTAATGCCATCTCAGGTTCCTTTTCTCATTCTTCTTGTCTTTCCCATCAATCACTGTTGTACCATATGATTATGTTCTGCCCTTATTTTGTTTTTTTTTTTCATAATTTCCCGTGTTTGTGTCCTTTTTGAGTGTATTTGTTTTAGCCTTGTATTTTGTTCTCGTTCAACTTTAATGTTGGGCATTAAGTAGGGTAAGAGCATGTATTTGATATCTTTAGTATTATTTTTGTGAGAAATTTAAAATTTTAATCTTGGACTAGTCCGAACACGGATTTAGAATATATATATATATATAGGGTTTTACTAATCTCATGTTAAAGGAGATAAGTTATCTCATGTCATAGAGATAAATTTGTGGGCTCCACCACCTGAAAAATAAAAAGAAAAAAAAAAGAAAAAGGTGACACAGTTATCGAAGGGTATATATATATATATATATATATATATATATATATATATATATATATATATATATATATCAGATCTTCTTGCTACCCAAAGCGTTTCACGTTTTTAAAATGGTACTACCGGAAGAAGGAGGCGTGAGAGCTTAGCTTTTTGGGATTTTTATGTCGGAAAAAAAAAAATTTAGTTTATCTTCATCATAAGTTTGTCTGGGAATTTTGCTTTGTATATTATATTCCTGCTCTGCGGTTTTGAGTCTTTCGACTTTGTCTTACTCTTTTGTAATTACTTGTATATAATATTCCATTATATATTCAAATGATGGCCGATATATTGCTGTAAAATGTTTACATGACTTTAGATATAAAGATCTTTGAATCATATATAGAAAATAACATCGTGTTTCTCCATCCTAGTTGCTATAAATTAATGGTCCAATGATGAATTTAATTTTTTTCAGTTATTGATTTTTGTACGAGACAAGATAATATGTTTACCTTATTTTCATGTCTACTTTCCTTAGATCACGATCTAAACTAATAATGGGAGGAGAGAGAATAGGGCGAATGTCAGTTGAGATATTGGTAAAGTATGCATGAACAAAAAATAGGCATAATATTCTAATTTTTATAGGGAAAAACATTTCTGTTTTTGCTGTCGAAAAAATTCCTTTGCTACACTTATATAAAAGTGTGTAGATTCTATTATAAAGAAAATAGAGAAAAAAAAATTAGTAAGACCCATTAACTTTTATGTAAGTGTGCCAGAGAATTTTATTATGTAGTAAAAACATAAACATTAAACTTTTTTTATATTACTTATCTAATTATGTGTAGTTATGATTAGGGTGTTAATGGGCCGGACTGGGCTGAGCTTTGGTCTTAAAAGACTAAATTTGTGTTTAAATATGTCATACTGACATAGCTTATAACCTGTTATGAATATAATTATCGGCACGTGGTCTGACTTATTTACAAAAAAATAAAAACCTGGCTTAGCCTCTTAAAAATAAAATTAATACAACACAAATTTATCCAAACAAAATATACAATCAACAACATTAATTGTTCCACAAAGATTCAAAAATTCAATGCATATCCAAACAACATAATATAGAATAAAATCATTCAAAAAATCTGTTTAACCAATAAACTAAAGTAGTACAAAATCCTTCATATTCAAAAGAACAAAAAACTACATAAACAATTTAATATATTCATGTCAACAATTTAATATATTGTGATGTTCCCTTCTCCAACATAAAGTTTATTGGTTATATCATTTGGTATGAAAAGTTTGGTATAAGATAAGATAAAAATGGACAGAATATAAGGTAAAATAAAATTAGAAAATGATAAGACTTGATAAGCTCATATCTTATACTGTTTGATGTGTACTGTATAAATAATCTGATAGGATAATGTTATTTTATTTGGTATTTGAGGTGAATTATAATATATGGAGACATAATATGATATAAATACACAAAGTACCCCTTTAATATAATTAAAATTAATTTTCAAATTATCTTTTTTACTTATTTGTGTATTTGTTCTTATTTTAAATTAGTAAAAAATTGTTTATAAAAAATAAATTAGTAAAAAATTTAAAAGTCACAATTTTAAATAAAATATATTAAAATACATATCTTGATAAGAACCTTGGGATACACCTTCCCAAAAGCTAGCTCAAAGGGTGGGAGTGCCCAAGGCCATATAAACTCCACATTAGTTGCTCATACAACCAATGTGGGACTATATATATCAACAACATAAATAACTTACAAAAATTTTCAAAATAAAAAATATATTTCCACCAAATAAATTTTTAAATAATTTTAAATTAAATGTCAATATTAGTAATCGGTGGGCGGTGGCTCCCAGTGCGATGGTGGCAACTAGCAAGTAAAACTGGTCGGTTGAAGTGATGGTGATAATAGGGGGCCGATAGTGAAAGGTGGTGGTGATAGCACAAACAATGACCGATGACAATTGTGTTAGTTGATTGATAATGACAACTATGGTTGGTGTATGGTGCCTAGTGGTTGGTTATGGTAGTGGTCTGAGGTGGTGACTAGTTGGTGGTGGTGGCGGTGGCCAAAGGCAGCGATAGTGGTGGTTGGTTAGGTGTGGTGGTGACAAGTAGGGGTGGCTTGTGAAAATGGTGGTGGTGATGGTAATGCTAACAGTGACTAGTGGCAATTGTGGGAGTTGATTGATGACAATAATAATTGCTAGTGGTGGCAATAGTCGGTGGTAGAGGTGGCCAACTGAGATGGCTGACCGATGGCAAATACTGATACCATACTATAATTATTTTTAGAATGAAAGCAATGTGATATTTGCTATGCTATCCTATCCATTCTTAACGAGAGACCTTTTTTACATAATGTGATTTTAATTGGCTCACCGATCAATAAGAGCATGATACCATAACCTATCATATCTTGTCCTCTCTTGACCAGAAATGTGTTGGTGATCGACTGATTGTATAACAAGTTGTGATATCCAAATTTGTTATTTGTGCTAAGCATTAAATTTTGATAATTAATTTATCATGCAATAAAACATAACACTTCTCAATAAAAAAAAACTAACACGTCAAAGATGAAAAAATCAAATAGAAAAATCTATTGGGAACTCGGTTCCCTCAAGCTCGGCTCAGGGGCCTTTGCGAAAGTCAGTCAATGAGATCCTCGATCTCGGATCTCGGCAATACCTCGGCCTGAACTTCACCAGGTCGGGCAGCGCAGCGGAAAAATCAAAACGAAAAACATGAGAGAGAGGAGAAGAAGAGAGAGAGAACACAAGCAATTTTTAACGTGGGAACACTTTCTCCAATAAAGAAGTAAAAACCTACGGGACCTAGTCCAGATCAAAAATCCACTATGAAAATAATGGTTACAAAATAATCAGAATACACCAATGTGGTGGTTAACTCAACCTCTCCAACAATGGTGATAATCAAACTACCCTAGAGATGTTTAACTCAAACTCTCTCTAGAGATCTCTCAAATGCAAAGCATAAAGCTTTGCTCAAACAATCAAATAATTATCTCTCAAATTTTCTTTCTCATTCTCTTAACCTAGCCTCCACCCACAGCTAATGAATATATAGAGGAGGTGAGATCTAGGGTTAGGGTTTTTAGAAAACCCTTCAATAGGCTTGGGCTTAGCATTGAAGGAGGAAGCCCAACAAATCTCCCCCTCCGACTTCAATGCGTCGGCTTCAGCATCAACCCGTCTCCTTCACAGTAGTCTTCAAATTTTCTTGCTGGAACCGGCTTCGTCAACATGTCAGACCAATTTTGGTCAGTGTGCACTTTGACGAGTTCGAGCTCTCCACCTTCCACCACATCCCGGATCCAGTGATACCTCACATCAATATGATTAGTGCGGGAGTGATAGGTCAAATTCTTTGCAAGATGGATTGCGCTTTGATTGTCACAGCCCAGCTCGTACTTGTCTTGATCATGGCCGAGTTCCACGAGGAACTTCTTCATCCACAACATCTCTTTGCTTGCCTCAGTAGCGGCAATGTACTCAGCCTCAATTGTCGATAGTGCAACACTTTTCTGAAGTCTTGATTGCCAAGAGACAGCTCCTCCGGAAAATCTCATCAAATATCCTGTAGTCGACTTCCTCGAGTCGGCGTCTCCCCCTAAATCAGAATCCGAGTAGCCTTGCAACTCGACTTTGCCTTCTCCAAATCGGACACATAAGTCGGTCGTACCTCGGAGGTACTTGAAGATCCACTTCACTGCTTCCCAATGCTCTTTGCCGGGGTTTGACAAATACTGGCTTACCATTCCAACAGCATACGCAAAGTCGGGTCTAGTGCAAACCATTGCATACATCAAGCTTCCGACGACGGATTGGTACGGGACCTTCATCATCTCATCTTTGTCTTCATCAGATCTTGGTCATTGCTTCTGGTTCAACTTTATGTGTCCGGCTAGGGGGGTGCTCACTGTTTTGGCTTTGTCCATGCTAAATCTCTTCAAAATCTTCTCAATATACTTCTCTTGACTTAGCCACAATAACTTCTTTTGTCTATCTCGGATGATCTTGATTCCGAGAATTTGCTTTGCAGGGCCGAGGTCCTTCATTGCGAAGGACGAGCTCAACGCCTTTTTCAGGGCGGCTATCATCGATTTGTCTTTCCCTACAATAAGCATGTCGTCAACATATAACAACAAAATCAAAAAATCTCCGGCCTCATACCTCTTCACAAATACGCAGTGGTCAGCTTCTGTCTTTTCAAACTTATGATCAGTCATGAATGATTCAAACTTCTTGTACCACTGCCGAGGTGCTTGCTTCAAGCCATAGAGACTCTTCTTCAACTGACATACCAAGTCTTCTTGGTCTAGAGCTTAGAATCCTTCAGGTTGCTCTATATATATTTTTTCTTCTAAATCACCGTGAAGAAATGCCGTCTTCACGTCCATTTGTTCTACCTCGAGGTCCATTGAAGCCGCCGTGGCTAATACAGTTCGGACTGAGGTCATTTTCACCACAGGAGAAAAAATCTCCTCAAAGTCTACTCCTTTCTTCTAATTGCATCCTTTCACCACAATTCGGGCTTTGTATCTCGGCTTCTGCTCGTTCACTTCGTTCTTAATCTTGTAAACCCATTTATTTTTCTGAGCTCGTATTCCTTTAGGCAACTCGGTCAGCTCATAAGTCTGATTCTCGTGCAGAGACTTCATCTCGTCTTGCATTGCCTTTTTCCATTCTTCTTTCTTTGAGCTCGTTACAACCTCATCATAACTCTGAGGCTCACCCTCTTCAGCAACAACGATGTATTCATCAGATGGGTATCTCGTAGAGGGTCTTCTTTCTCGAGTTGGATATCTCGGCTGTTCTTCAGCTTGAGAACCCGATTCATCATTCTCATCCCAGATCTCATCATCAACTCGGACCTCAATGTCTTGGTCATCTTCAGCTTGTTGCTGGTCATCAATTACTTCATTCTCTTGATTTTCTCCTCCTGCTTCAGCTCGGACAGGAGGATTGGGTTCTTCGCGTTTGACAGTAACTCGAACTTTGGGCTTCGAGATGTCATGAATGTTCTCATCTTCATGAAATATCACATCTCGGCTTCTCACGATCTTTTTATTGATTGGATCCCAAAGTCGGAACCCGAACTCACATTTCGGCGAACCAAGATAAATGCATTCTTTTGTCTTTGCATCGAGTTTTTCCCTTTCATCTTTAGGGATATGCACGAAGGCTCGGCATCCAAACACTTTCAATTGATTATAGGCCGCTTTCCGACCTGTCCAAACTACTTCTGAAATTTCTCCTTCAAGTGGCCGTGATGGTGAGAGGTTGATCAAGTCAACAACAGTTTTGACGGCTTCTCCCCAGAATGATTTCGACAATCCGGCATTGGATAACATGCTTCAGACCTTCTCTTCAATAGTTCTGTTCATCCGCTCAGCTAGTCCATTCAGCTGGGGTGTCTTGGGGGGCGTCTTCTCAAGTCGAATCCCGGCCGCTCTGCAGTATGCATCAAATGGGCCGCAATACTCACCACCATTATCAGATCGGACCACCTTCAATTTCTTGCCAGTCTCCCTTTCAACTATAGCATGGAATTTTTTAAAGGATTGGAGTACCTGGTCTTTAGACTTCAACAAATATACCCACACTTTGCGGAAATGGTCATCAATAAATGAAACAAAGTACTGAGCTCCTTCAAGGGATCTTTCCGACATGGATCAAACATCAGTATGGATGAGGTCATGAATATACTTGCGTCGTCTAGGTTGATCCGGTATCACAAAAGAAACCCGATGCTGCTTTCCAGCTAGGCAATGCGTGCAACCCTCCAACGCTTGGCCTTTTAACCCGGTCAATAATCCTTTCTTGTTCAGGATCTGGAGCACTTTCTCGCTCATGTGGCCGAGGCGCTTGTGCCATAGCTCCAAGCTAGGTTCATCTCAGACAGAATTGGCTTCTCCGCCATTGATCTTTCCTTGCATCACGTACAAGGAGCCTTCCTTCTTACCTCGGGCCACGACCAAGTTTTCCTTGGCCAGCCTCCATCTAACACTACCGAAGTAGTTCACTAACCCGGCATCATCAAGTTTGCCTACCGAGATTAGGTTCAAACGCATGTCAGGAACATGCCTTACATCTTTCAACACTAGTCGGCATCCGACATCCGTGGTCAGAGTTACATCACCGACACCAACAATCTTGCTGGTCACTTGATTTCCCATCTTCACGACTCCAAAATCGCCACCTCGGTAAGAGGAGAAAAAACCTTTATGTGGATTAACGTGGAAGGAGGCACCAGAGTCAACAATCCAGGTGCAGTCATCATATGCAACATTCAAATAATTATCCTCACCAAGGAGGAATATCTCGGCATTCGAGTTGGCAGCCACCGCAGTGGTGCTCTTGTCTTCCCTCTTCTTGGGAATAATCTGATCCGGCTTCACAGAGCCATTCTTCTCATCATTCTGCAGGGTCCAGCAGTCTGGCTTCTTATGGCCTGTCTTTCCACAGTAAAAGCACTTCAACTCATATTTCGGCTTTGACCGATCTCTGGACTTTCCTCTTCTGTCACGATCTCGACCCCTGCTTTTGCTTCTACCCCGGGAGTCGGATTTCCCTTTGTTCTCAGCAATGTTGGCCTCAGACGTGCTTGAAACACCTCGTTCTCTTCTCCTGACTTCTTCGCTCAGGAGGCTGTCTGTCACGACATCCATCTTCAACTTTCCTTCTGGAGCTGAATTACTCAAAGTCACCACCACAGTATCCCAGCTTTCAGGTATCCCAGCTTTCAGGCAGCGAGCTCAACTGCAGCAAAGCCTGCATCTCATCATCAATTTTCATCTCAGCTTTTGACAGCTGATTCACAATACCTTTATAGGTGTTGAGGTGTTCAATCATGCACATGCCGTCCTTGTATTCAAGCTTCACAAGTCGGCGAACCAGGTATGCTTTATTCCTGGGAGTCTTCTTCTGAATCATGGACTCCAGCTTCGTCCACAACTCATACGCGTTCGTGAACTCGGACACGTGCTCAAAGAGGCTTTTATCAATATATTTCCTGATCGTGGCTACCGCCTTCCGACTTAGGATCTTCCGCTCCTTATCAGTTTTGCCTGCCGGTCTCTCATCAAGGATAATGGGCTCATGTAAATCATTGCAGTAGAGATGATCTTCCATCATCGGTCTCCAATAGGTGAAATTATCTGTAGTCAACTTGAACATGTCTCCATCATTGGTTATGCCATTGGTCTCCATCTCGTCTCCCTCAGAACCCGTCGAACCTGGCTCTGATACCACTGTTGGGAAATATCAGTTCCCTCAAGCTCGGCTCAGGGGCTTTTGCGGAAGTCAGTCAATGAGATCCTCGATCTTGGATCTCGGCAATACCTCGGCCTGAACTTCACCAGGTCGGGCAGCGCAGCGGAAAAATCAAAACGAAAAACAGGAGAGAGAGGAGAATAAGAGAGAGAGAACACAAGCAATTTTTAACGTGGGAAAACTTTCTCCAATAAAGAAGTAAAAACTCACGGGACCTAGTCCAGATCAAAAATCCACTATGAAAATAATGGTTACAAAATAATCAGAATACACCAATGTGGTGGTTAACTCAACCTCTCCAACAATGGATCAAACTACCCTAGAGATGTTTCACTCAAACTCTCTCTAGAGATCTCTAAAATGCAAAGCATAAAGCTTTGCTCAAACAATCAAATAATTATCTCTCAAATTTTCTCTCTCATTCTATTAACCTAGCCTCCACCCACAGCTAATGAATATATAGAGGAGGTGAGATCTAGGGTTTGGGTTTTTAGAAAACCCCTCAATGGGCTTGGACTTAGCATTGAAGGAGGAAGCCCAACAAAATCATCATGTCAAATATGTAAAATCTAATTAATTTTTATTTACATAAAATTTAGTTAATTTTTTTTCGCGGCAACATATTAGCTTTCATGTTTAATTAATTATTAGAGGATAATGGAAGACAAGAAGAGGCTTTCATGTTTATTTTGTTTTCCTGTATATTGAATTGAAAAATAAGAAAAGTCTATGTTATTCTTGAGTTATTAAAACTAACATTACCTAAATATTATGCTGCTTTGGTTTCAGGAGTTGGTATTTTATCGATACCTTATGCATTGGCATCTGGGGGATGGTTAAGCATATCACTGCTATTTGTGATTGCCATTGCTTGCTGTTACACTGGCATATTGGTCAAAAGATGCATGGATATGGATCCTGATATCAGGACCTTTCCTGACATAGGTCAACATGCATTTGGAGACAAGGGTAGGCTAATAGTATCAATTGCCATGAATTCTGAGCTCTACCTAGTTGTAACAGGTTTTCTGATTTTAGAGGGTGACAATCTAAACAAACTAGTACCAAACATGCAACTAGACCTTGCAGGGTTAACACTTAGTGGTACAACAATTTTTACCATAATTGCTGCCCTTGTTATTTTGCCTACTGTTTTGTTAGAGGACCTGAGCCTGCTATCTTTTGTATCTGCTACTGGGGCTTTAGCTTCTTCCATCTTCATCCTCTCTCTATTTTGGAATGGCACCATTGATGGAACTGGATTTCGTGGAAAGGGAACACTTTTTAGATGGAGTGGAATACCTTCTGCTGTCAGTTTATATGCCTTCTGTTATAGTGCTCATCCAATCCTTCCCACCCTCTACAATGGCATGAGAAACAAAAGTCAGTTCTCCAATGTAAGTACATGGTTTAGTGAAACATGGATTAAAATCTAAGTGCTTCTTCTTCATGATTTGATTTGTAAATTATTAAGAGATGTAATATAAAATTCATTTATTTACCTTTATTTAACATCTTAAGCTTTTTGGGAGAGTTAGTCCCTGATATGGAGATTATTTATAGTGAATTAGGACTACCATTTTTTAGATGGTTCCTTAGTGTAAATAGGAGGGTAAAATTGGAAAAGAGGGAAAATAACAAGGGTAAAAAGAGAAAGAAAAAAGTAATGATGTGAGAGGGAGCACCAAAAGATTCAGTAGTCCTGGACCATATTAAATATTTCCCCTGATATGGTATGGGATCCTTCATGACAAGTGGTTTATAATTCAATCATTGTCATTTCTCCATTTCTAATAAAAAGTTTAAACCAATGCTTCAATTCCTATAAGGCTCTTGAAATGATAAACCTAACTAGCAAGTGCGGGTGGAGGAAATCCTTATACGCAGCCTTATCCTTACATAATTACAAAGAGGCTATTTTCTGGATTCGAATCCATGACCTTTCAGTCATGAAGGAACAGCTTTACCACTGCTCCGGTTCGTCCCTTTTTGTGTGTGTGTTAAGAGATATAATATATAAATCATTCGTTTACTTTCACCCAACAACTTATGTATAGTTAATAATGGTTTGAATTTCTCTGTTTTGGCAGGTCCTATTTGTATGCTTTTTACTATGTACTCTTGGTTATGCAGCAGCAGCTATTTTGGGGTACTTAATGTTTGGAGAGGAGGTTGAATCACAGGTGACTTTGAACCTACCAACAGGCAAGTTCAGTTCACAAGTTGCAATATACACTACCTTGGTCAATCCCATAGCCAAATATGCATTGATGATTACTCCTGTCATGAATGCTATAAAAAATAAAGTTTCATGTCATTACAGCAAAAGGCTCACTCATATGCTTGTTAGTACTTCATTGCTCATTAGTACTCTTATTGTAGCCGTGGCCATTCCCTTATTTGGATACCTCATGTCACTTGTTGGAGCATTACTAAGCGTCTCGGCTTCAATTTTATTGCCATCAGTGTGCTACTTGAAAATTTCAGGAGCTTACAAGAGATTTGGGTCTGAAATGATCATCAATTATTCAATAATATTAATGGGGGTTACTATTGCTGTTGTAGGTACTTACGCATCTCTTATGGATATAGTTCAGAATTTATAAGTTTCAGTTGAAAGCTTTAATTTCCATCTGTAGGCTGCTACAATTGGAACCTTTTTGCCTGCAATAAACTACAATATTTCTTTATATACCTTTGTTTATTATATAGACTCTGGGATCAAAAGTAAAAATAACGCTTTTGTTTCTTGAGAACTCTCTTCTGTGTCTATAGTTACATGATTTTAAGTGCTAAATGTTCAAAACCATTAAAGTTGTGTGCAGTGGTAAGCTAGTTATACACATAGGAGAAGACTAAATTAAGTTACTTGTTCACATGACATTGTTATTAGAAAAAAGGGAAATCCATTTGTCCTGTTACATGGCAAATAAAGAGTTATTATGTTAAGAAAAAGACAAGGCTAATTTATTGAATAATGTGTCATCTCATTTTTTTTAATATTATATAATTTGTTTTTTTCCTAACATAACAACTATCATTTGTCATATAACATGATAAATGCATTTCTCTAAAAAAAATATCACAAATTAACTTTTAGATATTAGTTTAAGGGATTAATGTTTCTCATGTTGAAGGAGATAATTTTATTTCTTATACACACATAAAAGTGTACGGGGCTAGTGTGTGGCCATATGAAGAGAAAAGAGAGAAAAATAAAATATGAGTTTCACACTATTTTATGTGTGTGTAGAAAATAAAATTATCTTCGACAACATGAAAAACATTAATCCCTTAATTTAAACATGACTAAAAAGCTTTCAAATTTATAATTTTGCTATCCATTGCCCTTCACGGGTTGGGCTTCCATCTGCTCCAAAATTAAGTCAGGCTTGGGCTCTTTCCCCAATTCAAGCTTATAAGCCCAACATATATTTGATTTATTGATTATGATTTAACACTTTAAAAGTATTTGTTTAATCACTCAATCATATACTATTACTGTATTACATTATCAATTTTTTTTTAATAAAAATCCTAACTTTTTATCCAAAAAAAAAAAAAAAACTGTCTAAAGTTTCATATACTTTTAAGTTTTAATGGAGGGCATAGGTGACTTCAAATTTTATAAAATTTGATATTAAATTTTTTAATGGAAAGCCTTGATCATGTGATGTGTAAGCATACAACGAACCTAGTTTTCCCAACCACGGGATATATACACAATTGTTAATCATGTCATGTAACAAAGAGCATGGCTCTCCCAAAGTTCACTGAAAAAAGTTTTAGAAGCATGTGAAGTTGGGTATGGTATGGGGAAGATTCAGTGTCGCACTCGGAACAGGTTGCACACCCTTTTCTCCTAAAACAAGGAGGTTGTTTTGTCAATTTGATGTTCAAGGAGATGAACCAAGGCCCACTTTTTAGGTCATGGGCATGACTCCTATTAAACAAACAACACTACACCTACATAGATTCAGGAACAAGTTATCGTATTTTGTAGCCCTCACTAGGAGACATTGTAAAGTGTTTAACTATTCTAGTTTCAATATACATAAATTTTTACATGAGTTCTGTATCTAAAAATTTTCCTAGTCACGGCATGTTCAATTAACAAACAAGACTTTATGGCTTTGAAAATTTGACATCATCAACCTCACAGACTCCAACTCAAAATTAATATATACGGTGGAGCATCAATTTCTTGGTGATTGTGATGTCATTTTAGTGTTGGCTTTAAATGGCTCTGCTTCTCCCACATTAAATAAAGTTCAGTAGAACTATATGTATGTAGCGTCACATTCATCGTTCAAAACATAATTTAAAATTATGAATATGCGTATATTATGAAATTTAATAACGCATAATTTTTCATTCATAGAGTTTATTACGAACCTGAATCTTTGTTGTTGTTAATATTAAAAAATATTACATGCCGTCCAAATTATTGTCTAATGATCTTGGCGATTGATTTACTTTTATACAATGACTCATGTACTAATAAATTATAATTATTAGAGATCAATGATCAAAATTGAAAGTATAACTTGTACTAATATAAAATGATCATATTCCACTATTCTTATTCAATTTAAAATCTTCAAAAACCTCAAAGAATGAGGGATAGTTAATACTTATTCAGTTCTTGTATTTTTGGTGATTAATTTTATTTTCAAAATTAGATAAAAATAATTTTTACATAGTCATCTGAAAAAGCTTTAGAAACAAATATTGCAAAATGTTAAAGGAGGGGTAACGAATGATTATACGTACGTCCCCATTTTCTCGCGTCACATTCAGAGAAGATTGGATCTCGTTATCCCTTATCTTTTTCTTATTGCTAAATGGAATGTTACACTCAGACACCCAACTAACATCCTTTTATGTACTTGTCTTTTACGCCATGACTTTTCTTTTCTCTTGTATTCTCTTTGTTGTGTCATTGGGTAATAGAGAGAACATATCCTTTCAACATAAAATTAACTAGCTAGCTAGTTTTCCTTTTATTCGATTCATCCTCAAGCTTCATCCACAGAAGTTTGATTCATACGAATCCGAGTTAAATAATCTTTATGGTATAAACAATGTTGGTTAATGAGGGCCAGCAGCACCCAATTATGTGAATTCAGGCAATAGAGTAATACTTTGAACTGTTGAAGGGTTAATGTCCTAGCAGGGCTTAGTTAGGTGAAGAAACATACATAAGAAGGCTCCTAGATACTCCAATCAATTTATACATATGTGGGGTTGTGGACCTCTTCAAATATCTTGCCACCCAGTTGAAAAATTATATATCAAGTTAGAATGTTGTCGTTGAAAGTTAGGCTTTGTATGTTTGTTAAATTTTTTTTTTTTTTTTTTTTTTCAGATCATGAATTGGCCCACGTATGAGTGATGTATAAGCAGTCAATATTAGTAAGCCAAAAAGCACGTAGAATTTTCGTATGTATGTATATCGCTTGTTGAATAATATAATATCCTTACCTATGATTATATACGGTGGTGATAATAAGAAAAGTAAGCCTTGGTGCAAGAACTGGGCAAAGACAATCAAAAGACGCCAAGTGAGGAATTGAGTAAACAATGTCAAATACTATGAATTTTGTATATGTTTAGTTTCTTAATATTGATATTTGACTACTTTTAAAACTTCAAATAACCAATTCAAACATTGAGTGTTTTAATTGGTCTGAATCCGTTAATCTATATTACCCTTCACTATTTATCCTTTTGAAAAGTCATAGCAATGCTACGAGTTATATATAGTCGCTATTTCCTGCCAAAAATATTGTGCAGTTATTTAAAGACATAATAGATATGACGCATATTTATCACTAAGGTTCTAATTTTTTGTGAGGAATATCTTTTACCAACTCAAATAAGTTCCCATGAGTCAAAGCATTTAAAGTATCATAATCAAAGAATATTAATAAAAGGAGTAGCGAAGATATCAAAGCCTGGCACACTCATAACAGGAAAAGAATGGGATAATATTATTCCGGAAAGATAAGGATCTTATAATTTACTAATGTAAGTGGGCAACCAAATCAATCTACTAAAAAGAAATCATATTATAGGACCATGTTCGACCTAGCTTGCAAATTACAAAAAAAAAAAAAGAAATCATATTATAGGACCATGTTCGACCTAGCTTGCAAATTGTTATATATATATTTTTTTTGAAAAAAAGTTTGTTGTTTTAAATAAATAATTTTGTGTCATCTTAGATGAAATAACGTCGTTTTGTTGTATAATTGGTAGTTTTTTACATTCTCTCTCTTCCATAAAATTAGGAAGAGAGAGAAAGTGGACAAAGTTATATCCTTTAAAAGGATAAAAGTTTTTCTCATTCTTTTTAGGGTTTAATGTTTCTCATGTTGTAGGAGATAAATTTATCTCTTACATACACACAAAAATGTGTGGAGCCCATGTGGCCCAATGTTATTTTCTATACACACCTAAAATGGGTTCAATGTTTTTCGTATTATAGGAGATAAATTTTATTTTCTATACACACCTAAAAGTGTGTAGACTCATTTTCTCATTCTCTCTCTTCTTCTCGCATTGGCTTACATGGGCCCCGCACATTTTTGTGTGTATGTAGGAGATAAATTTATTTTCTACAACATGAGAAACATTAAACCCTAAAAGGTGCCTATGTTTCCCATGTTGCATGAGACAATTTTGTCTCATGCAACACACAAAAAATCGGTCCCATCTATTAGGAAGAAGAGAGAGAAAGAAAAAGTGAATGTGACTTACTTTTTGTATGTATGAAATAAAATTATCTCATATAACATGATAGACATATTTCTCTTTTTTTATTCTATAGCATTAACATATGAAATTAAATCAATTATTCAGCTCTGACCCTAAATGTCAGAATTCGAATTCTTATTTTTTTTAACTATAAATACCCTTGAGACGAGTATGTCATTTTAAGTATTTTTACAAATTTTAACTCTTTGAACTACTTATATAATTAATCTCGAGTCGGGATTTCATCGTAGTTAGAACTTTTCACCCTTATGTATTTGGTGGGCAATCGTGACAATTGGTAATTTGATAATTTATCATTGAAACTCATATTACCACTTATACCCATAGCAAATTGTTACTAATGTTAGTGAATCTTTACATTATTTTTTAAAAACTTATTTATAAATAGTAATTAAACAGTGACAAATATATGATTAGCACGTGCGTTGATGAGGTGAGGACAGAAGTGCTACATATAAGACATATATAAATAGATAGAGGAGTTGCTGACTTCTCCAACTCCATGACACGATCCAACAATTTCAATCCTCTGAAATGGTGAATTAAAGCAACCCATTGATCGTTGCAAAAGCAAAAAATCCAAACGAAGCCGTTTTATCGGACTCTGTCTCACTTCCCACTTCTTCATCATACCATTTCCATTTTTCTTTCTTTTAACACTTTGTATCGGTGAGTTTCATTTTCTCTAATTATTAGTTCTTTTTTAAGACCAGAAGAACAAAGTGAATTAAAGATCATTAATTGTGTCATCAGAAGTTGTTTCATATGACAATGAAAGAAGCGTGGAGATTCATGACTTGGTTAAAGCTCTGTCGCATGGTGATGTTTGTGGTGGTGGTGTCTTTATTCCCGTTGAGCATGAAACACGCTCAGTGTTCGACTCTGAACAGCGAAGGTAAGGCTTTGTGTGTGTATGTGTGTGTGTGTTTTTTTGAGGTTGTTTCATAGATTTTTGAGATGGGTTTTTGATGAAATTAACGAAAACAAAAGGTGTGTGGTTAACTGGTTTATGGTATGGGATGTGCAGGGTTGGCGTTGCAAAGGATGAAGGAGAGGGTGGTGAGAGACCCATCAGGGGCTTTATCGAGTTGGAATGGCGAAGAAGGAGTCATTGATCCATGCTTGTGGTTTGGAGTGGAGTGCTTCAATGGCAATGTTGTCACCTTGTAAGCAACCTCTTCTTCTTCTTTCTTCCTCTTCATGCTAGCTTCTACATGATTTTGCTTTTCTCATAATGCAAACTCTTTTAGGTAATCACATCAACCTACACTGTTTTGTTTTTAATGCTAAGAGTATGTCTGACATAAATTGTGTATATGTATATTTGGTATAATTGTGTTTGTTGGCACTACCTATTCCTAATTCTTGGGAAGCATATAAATTGTGTTTGTCTCGAGTTCGAAATCCTGAAAATATAGTTGTAATAAAATTTGAGAGGGAAAAATTTGTCGTCCGTGTGATTATACTCAGCTCGAATTGTGATAGATAATATAAAAAAATTAAATAAATCAAGAATCGGAAATATTTGAATTGTTTCATATTTTGGGACATAGGGTACAGATTAATGACAAAGCCATATCTGTTGCATTTTTTTTTTTTTGGGTAGAAAAATAAGGGAAGAAATGCGAGATACAAAATATAATAATCTAATAAAACATGAAACAAATGAAATTGAATAAAAAGGATACAAAATTAAACGATAGAATTGTTCAAAGATTAGCTGGCTGACCGGTCCAATTGGGCTCGGATTAATTGTACGAAATTTTTTTATTAATTAAACTCGTGGCGCCTCCTAAGTACAGCATATAGCATGTTGCATGGTGGAATATGGCCATGTAATGTAAGTAATATCATTCACAATTGAGATCTACCCTATGCTATTGCATTCATAAAATAATTAACGATCCTCTAAACTCTAAAGGATTATATATATTTCAATTTATCAATATTTTGCGAGTAATAATTTCTTATATATTTCAAAATTGTACTTGTTTTGCTTCTGATTATGTCTGCTATACGCCAGTGGAGTCTTCTCGTGTCGATGTTTATCATTGCTAATTAAGGAGAAGATTATATTTACAAACTTTTTGTTTACAATTCTTACAAACTACACTAAGTGTGACCGGTCATACTTTAATCAAGAGTGTATGACCGGTCATACTTAATGTAATTTATAAAAAAAAATTGTAAACGGATACTTTTTCGCTAATTAATTGCATAAAATGTTCAACGAGCATTGGTTATTCAACAGCATTGGTTATTCAACGTAAGAACATGTAATTGAAATTGAGGATTATTCAACTTGCAGGGATTTGAAAGATCTATGTCTTCACGGAACACTAGCACCTGAAATTGGGAAGCTGGTTCACATAAAATCAATGTAAGAACATGGACATTTCATTATTGATTATGATTTAAATAAACAAAAAAAAAAAAGGAGTTCTTCAACAACCCTGGTAATCATTTTATGTTATGCAGCATTTTGCGAAACAATTCTTTCTTCGGAGATATCCCTAAGGAGATACTACAATTAGAGGAACTGGAAGTTCTTGATTTGGGATATAACAACTTTAGTGGATCATTTCCTTCTGATGACCTTGGCAACAATCTATCCCTGACCACCCTGTAATTAAGTTGATACTTTCATGTCAAATGTTTTTGTTATATTCTGAGGCTTTTGTTCTGAAATAATCAAATTTGTATTGCAGTTTATTGGACAACAATGACTATCTTGTCAACTTAACTCCAGAAGTGTATAATCTTAAGATGATTTCTGAATTGCATGTACATGAAGAACAACTAACTGGTGTTGCACCCACTAGAGAAGCATGTGTTAGCATATCTAGTTTCTGGTAAGCAAGTGATTTATGTAGCTAGCATGGAGATATATAAGAGATGTCCTTTCTCAATGACTGAATGAGATTTTGCTTTCTGCTTGTGACAGGCACATTGGCCAGCATGGAGATATAGTAGCACACATGCGGCAACTTCTCCAAGTTGAAAATGCTGCTAACTCACCCAAAACTAAGAAGGATGATAATAAAGAGACTATTTCACCATCACCATCATCTTTTCCCACTTCATTATCACCAGTTTCTGAGCCTTTCTCACCATCACCATCAATAGTTTCACCATCAGAAAGTCCTTCAAATTCACCAACAACATCATTTTTTCCCTCACCACTAAGATCTCCTATAGTTTCCCCTTCACCATCACCCTCTCCCTCCAGTATCTTTTTCACTTTTCCACCCTCACCTTCACCTGTGGTAGCACCAACTCCAGACATAACATCTCCAGCAAATCCACCTACTATTGCATCAACACCATCACATTCCCCTGCTTCATCATCAAACCAAGGGAATTCAAACAGTTCAAACCCAAAGCATCATTCTGTGATTATTTGGTCCACAGTTGGGAGCTTCTCCTTCTTGATTTTGGTGTCTGCCATTTTCCTTTGCTTCAGAAATAATAAAGTTGTAACTGTGAAACCTTGGGCCACAGGGTTGAGTGGCCAGTTGCAGAGAGCATTTGTAACAGGTGATTTGTGCTCTCTGACAAGGTCTTCCTTTGTCATATTCACTTTATTTACATCATAATCAAACTCAGCTATAGATTTCAAACTTCAAAATGCATAGTAACTACCAAGAATAAAGTTTATGTTCTAGTCCTTACCAACTTTACAAATATTTCTTTATTTGAAACTTGCAAACTCATTGAGCCAGTGTCATTTAGGTGTTCCAAGTCTGAAACGAGCAGAACTAGAAGCAGCTTGTGAAGATTTCAGCAACATAATTGGTTCTCAGCCAGAGGGGACTGTTTATAAGGGGACTCTCTCCAGTGGAGTTGAGATAGCTGTAGCATCCTCTGCAGTGACTTCATCTCAAAACTGGTCAAAAGATATGGAAGCTCAATTCCGAAAGAAGGTATGGAGGCAACAAATGCAGCAAATTAGGGGTGTTCGCGGTCTGGATTGGATCGATTTTAGAAGCAAAAATCATCTGATCCAATCCCTTCGGTTTGATCATATAATTATCCATTCGATTTGGATTTTTTTTCAAATTCGATCCGATCCAATCCAAACTGATTTTCGGTTTTTTGAAAATCTTAAAATTTGTTTTATGATTATTGTGCAAATAACATTTGTATATATTGGCTTTATAAATTTTTTTTTTGAAATACAAAAGCATCTGTAAATGATCATATAATTTTTTTTTTGGGTAATGAGATATGAAGCTCGATAAAATTTTGTTGATGAGAGGTGACTAGATTTTTTCTTGGGTTTAGTTGATGGGTTAATGGGTCTTGCGTTTAGAAATTTTTAGGCTATGATTAGGAAAAGACCCAAGTAGGTAGAGGGAAATTAATATATTGGATCGGTTTGGATTGGATCGGTTTTCATCAACCCATCCAAAAACCGATCCAATCCAATTAAAATTTGTGGTTTTTTTTCGGTTTTCGGTTTATTCGGTTATCTTGAATCGGTTTGGATCGGTTAATGAACACCCCTACAACAAATGCATCACACTTTTCAATCTGGTTTTAGTTCTGAACTTTTTCCTTTTCATGATTCCAGATAGAGGTATTATCAAGGGTGAACCACAAGAATTTTGTGAATCTTATTGGGTATTGTGAAGAGAAAAAGCCATTCACAAGGATGATGGTTTTTGAGTATGCTCCAAATGGAACGCTATTTGAGCATCTACACAGTGAGTGTCGTTTTGTTCAAAATTTAATCACATGATTACATTGACGAGCATGTGCTTTAACAATCAATGCAACCTAACATGCAGCTATTATGGTGCATCCTTCTCATATTACTTGATACTTATTAACAAGAAATTATTAACATTGCTTTGATCTGTAACTTCTTGTGTTAGAAATATAAATGAAAAACTATTCTTAGGCCTTCACTTTACATATACGTTTATTAGTTTCATAATATGATATCAAAGATTGCTCGACCAAGCAGTGAGGAGGGCTTTTTCAAGTGTATTGTGGAGATATAACTGAAAATCATTCTTGGGATTTTACAACAAAACTTTCTAGAATGATTAGTTCTTTGACATGTTGAAAGTTGTTTGCATTGTGTACTGGCAATTAAAGTTTTGTATTGACACCATTCATGTATGTCATGCAGTTAGAGAAGCAGAACAACTAGACTGGGTAATGAGAATGAGGATAGCTATGGGAATAGCCTACTGTCTGGAGCACTTGCATCAGCTGACACCACCCATTGCCCACAGAAACCTGCTATCTTCCTCTATATACCTGACTGAAGATTATGCTGCTAAATTATCGGACCTTAGTTTCTGGGATGACATAGTTGCTGCAAAGAAGGGTTCTGAAGCCACACAGCTCTTGGAAACAACTTCAGCATATATAGAGGGAAATGTTTATAGTTTTGGAGTAATATTGTTTGAATTGATAACAGGGAGAATCCCCTATGCAGTGGACAATGGCTTTCTTTTTGATTGGGCAGCAGAATACATAAGGGGGCAACCCTTGAGGGACTTGGTGGATACAAGTCTGAACTCTTTGCAAGCACATGAAATTGACAAATGGTCTGAAGTGATTAACAACTGTGTACATCCAGATCCAGAAAAAAGGCCAACTATGAGAGAGGTCACTGCTAAGTTGAAGGAAATCACTGCTATGGAGCCTGATGGAGCAGCTCCAAAATCATCCCCTCTTTGGTGGGCTGAGTTAGAAATTATGTCAACTGATTTAAGTTCAGACATGAATCCATAACCCCAAACAACATATATAAAGGGATAATAATATGAGCAATCACTATTTGGAGTTTGATTCCATTTTTAAATTCTTTCTTTTTTTTTTCTTTTTTTAATGTCTGTATTAGATTCTTCTTTTGAAGCTAACAGAAGTAGGATGTATAGAAGAGACAGCTTCTTTGGCAGTTGATTTTTGTAAATATTTGAGGAATGGAGAGTACTCTCTCTATATCCTTCTGGTTTTATGCTTTTCTAAATGAATTTGTTTTTCTTTAGTTTGGAAAACGCTAGGGACAAGGGAAATGGTTAATATGTTTGTCTGCAATGATAAGGAAACAAGTTCTACCTTTTTGTCATATGAAGAGCATTTATGATATCAATGAATTGTTGTTTTTTTTCTATACTACTGGCCATGGATCCTTTTGATAGAGGTTTGAGATCACTACGACAAGATAGGTTAGAGATTGGAGATGGAGGCAGAAAATAATAATAATGCAATCTCATCATTTTCACAGGACATTTTTGGTTGTACCTGATGTACAAGTACAGTGGACCAAGAACAACAACCAACCGAGAAGATGGTCATTGAATGGAATCTTCACTGTACACCCACCTCGGTTTTGATGTTCTTTTTAAAACTGATATGTGAACTTATAGTTGTAAGGCCTACTTTCTCAGAAGGAAATCTAGGAACAAATTAAAAAAAAGGCAGGAAAAATAAATTATACATTGTAGGAAACAAGAGGTATGAATCTCTTTATAACTTCTCTAACTGTACAAGAGGATGTGCAAATAGTGTGAGACAAATTATGTAAATATGGCTCACAAGAGTCAAGAATCCATATCATATCATTGGAGTTACTACTCTAAAACTCTTCGGATTTACACCTGAATCATCCACCCTATTTGATAATGTAAAAACATAACTCAATCTCTTTTATCCATCTTTTTCTTGATTCATCCAAAGTATTGCTTCTTGGGCTTTGCTTCCACAATCCATGTTCTCCATTCCCACTCTATCTTCCTTCTTAGATGGTTGTTGTGAGATTTCAGAGGGGAAAATTGAGTCATTTGGAAATGTCCCAGCAATTCTCTAACCAATATCTCCACAGTTTTATCTTTCTGATGCACATATAGTTTAAGATTAAAACTTCAGTTTTTGTATCCTTTGATACATATCAAGTGTGCCTGCATGGTTTGGATCTAAACAAAGAGCTGCCTGGCAATCTTGAAGAGCAGATGATAGGTCTCCCATTGACTCATAAAATGCTGCTCGCAGATGAAGCATTTGCAGGTCTGGCTTGAATATTAGGGCCTTGGTGAGTTCTTCTACAGCTTCAGTTTCTTTTTGTTCATCCATCAGCACTGATCATATATGTGACACTTTATGTGAGTAAAATCATTGATTTCACTGCTGATGTGTGTGTTTCTGGAGTCTTGTGTAATAATCATAACAGTAACTTTTGAAGTGAAGGTTAAATGTGATAACTAGCCTTGAATCAATCATCCTCTTCTATTTCCATTTTATCTTTGGTGGCAAAATATGTGAAGTTGGAAAATGTTAGAAGTGACTCAAATTTCTCCCTATTGTATTTACTACCTACTCCACAGATCCAAAGTCCCCTAAAAAGTTACAAACTGAAACTTCATAACAGATTTTAGGCCATCAAAGCAAGGGCAACAGATTAAATAACTTTTCTTTAGGAATTCACATCCTATCAACTTTTTGATTGATTTCCTTGAAGATACCTAAATTTGTTTTTAAAGTAGTAGTCAAACTAGACATGGTATTTGGTTACATTTCTGGGCTTGATGATCTCTCCAAATTGAATATGCCAGAAGTGCATCTTTCTCAATTGCATGAGGACTAGACATAACAATCAGAACATAAACTTGAAATAAAAAAGCTTCATCCTACTTAATGGGTTAAGTTTTCACCTACCATGAGAATAGAACTAAAAAGTGACTGTAAATTGATATATCAAGACAGGCATATTATTATCTGAAATCTGTGTCCCCTATTAATAAAATAAAATGGAAGACAGGAGAATGACCAGAAGGGAAGTACCTGCAGCCCTATATCTATATGGGTATGTCCTCAAAGGATCAAGTTGTGTTGCAACATCAAGATCAACCTTTGCCATCTCGCGGTCACAGTATTCTGATCGTTTCTCATATGCTGAAGCATTGCTCTCTGCCTTCTCAATTAGCTTGGTCATCTCATCATATGCAGATTTTCTTTGATTTTTCTGATGATAAACGCGTGCCAGACCTTGATGAGCTCTTGTGTGCTTAATTGCAAGGGCATTCTTGTAGCATTCTTTTGCAAGTTCTAGCTTACCACAATCCACATACACACTTCCCAAGTTATTCAATGCCTGCAAAATATTGCACAAGACAATCAAATAACTGCATAAAACACAGACTTCATTAGCAATACGGATAGTATCAGAGATCACTAACTTGTCCCTTGCGAAGACCATCTGAAGGACATTTAAGTGCTTCTTTCAGAAGTTGGATAACGTAAGAAGAAGATTCAGGATCCATACTTTTATCTGCCAACATATATGCTTTAAGAAAAAAGGCTTCAAATGACCTCTGAATTGTAATGGATCTGTCAGCCCTTTCCAATGCTTCTTCATGATAGCCAGTATCATATAGAATCCATCCTTCATAAATTAGCCTTTCTTGCATTGTGCTACAATGGTTTCTGGCCATCCTCAAACTATGCATTGCAGCCTTTTGACAATTTAACCTGTGAATTAAGTAGTTTTCAGGAATTCTCTTGGCATTGTAAATAGTAACTAACTACTTTGAATGCAGAAAATAGCTGCATTGTGCAGAAAGACCACTAGATTCCATTATGGACATTACACAACCTAATAAGCTAGTCATTATCAAACATTCAAACTCAAGTCCTAAGGATCCAAGGCAATAGGGCAATAAACACAATAAGAATTGAAAGTCAAAGAAAAGAGATACTTGTATGTTAATTTCCACAGATGCTTACCTCAAGAGGAGTAGAGACTGACGAAACTCTAGCAGGCTCTTTCCAGGCTCATTCTCTAGCATCTGATGTAAAATAGCCAAAGAACCAACATCATCTACAGAAGACCATTGTTGGTATAATTGCATCCAGCATTCAGCCTGACTCTTCTGCTGAACTCCATGGCTTAGAAGTTGGACCAAGTGTTCCCCTTTGATCTTACCATGTAAAGTTATGTATTTTGGTTCTATGGTTAACAATGCCCGAATATCTCTAATGGCACTCTCATAATCCTTAAGTGCAATATGCAACCAAGCCCGCAATTCTAGGCAATCAGGAGAAAGCTTAAATGCAATAAACTTATCTAACTCCTTAATTCCTTCCATTATCTGCTTGTCCTCCACCTTTGCCAGGGCTCTATATTTATATGGAAATGAAAGGGAGGGATCCAATTCAGTTGCAACATCTAAATCAAAACACTTCTCCCTTCCCATATTGTACAGTGCACGCTCCTGATACATCCATCCAGCTGGTTTATACTCAAATATGAGAGAGCTAATTAACTTATAGGCTGAATATGGTTGACCCTGCTTGTACTTGGTTCTAGCCACACCAGCCATAGAATACACATGACCTACCTTAACTGCTGCCTCAAAACAGTGCTGAGCTTCTTTATATTCTTTCCTTTCAAGCAGCACACACCCCAATTGATGGAATGCAAGGGCTTTCTCCCATCTTTCTGCAGCACACTCCCCTAGTCTCTCCAGTAACATCATTGTCGTTATAGATAACATGCTTTCCTCCATAGCCACCTGAGTCAGGAAATAGTACAATAAGAAAGAAGAATACCCCACCATGGCCAACCTTTCCTTTGCCTCAGAACTACAGAAGATTTTTGCCACCTTTGAATTATACAAAGAATTAGGAAGCTCCCTAAGCAACAATTGTAAGCAAGACCCTACAAGAAGGGTGGCTCTCTCTTCCAATCCATACTCAATAAGTATCAATGCATCCTCAACATTTACAACAATTGAAGACAAATATGCATCACAAGCAGACTTCATCTCCTCACAACAAAACCTGTTGGCAAAGGACAGAAGCTCCAAAACAGTCACGGGACTAAAAAGATCCAATCTTTTGGTCCTGCTGTAAAATTCCACTGCCCTCATCCCCTTTGGGCATATCCCATTTCCTGAGAAATCAATCTTCCTCATTTTGGACTCAGCAAAGCCACCAAAGAGCATAACATTAAATGGGTCTGAAAGTGCAGCAATCCTGCACCTAACACAACTAATTTCTTCATTCCCAACACAAAACAAAACATCACTTTCCTCATCTGATAAACACACATTCTCAGTACAAGTTTCCTCATTTGGCTCTTGCTGACACTGGCAGCGATCATTAATCAAACAGGGACTGAAGCCATGTTCCAAATTCTTCTTTGGACACTCAAGAACGTAACCACCACAATCCATTGAAGACACACCAACAAGCTCATCATCCCTCCTCTCAAACCGCAACCATGCAGAGAGCACAACCTTAGAGAGCACATCTTCAGCGTTCTGGCGCGCTATCCTGAGACATCTTCTAAGTAGCTTCTGGTCACCGAGGCTGCGCAAGAGAGAGTACTGTTCCACATACAGTGATGCTTTCTTGGACTGTGAGCAGCACTCTATGCGTTGATAGAGTTCTGCTAAGGTCTCTTGGAGATTGATGGGCTTAAGATTAGTTTCTATGGATGGTTCAATGGTGTCAGTGGAAGGTAGCTGAATGGGGAAAAGGTTTGCAAATGTTAAGGTTGAGTTTTTGGTGCTGGATTTGGGCTTTGACCAAGATGATATGGTTCGGTTTCTGTTAAGGTCATGAGCTTTGTTTGCAGCCACTGAGGCTTTGTTGCTACTGCTATCATTGGTTTCTGATGAAGAACTGAGAGCATGAACTTGGATGCTCTTGAAACGTTCACTGAGCTTCAAACCACGCATTTCTGATGAATATATGTACTTTGCTTTCAACCCTTTCTGCTAAAGTTTTGAACTTTGAATTATCATAAACTTGGGGTGTGAACCTTTGAGGAAAGGAAATTTTGTACTTTTTGCCAAGAAGAGAGAGGTGAGTATGCAGGTTATAGCAGAAAAGGAATGGTTTTTTTTTTTAGGTGCTACTGTTTTTACAGTGTGGTTTGAAGGGAAGAGAAAAATGATGGATGGGTGATGATGCAGACCAATGGCCTAAACTGAACTTGGCATCTTCCATTTTGCTAAAAAGGAGTGGAAAGTTTAGGTTTTAGATAATATGTGTATTTAGAATTGAAGAATGGGACTCAACACACAAAGAATGGAAGGTTGGTGTTTCTATGGGGGTAAATTTAACCAAGTAGCAGCTATTAGTTTTCTTGGTTGCTATGCTCAGCCTGTGCCACTAACAACTCCATTTGTGACTTCCCCAGAGAGAAAGAGAGAGAGAGAGAGAGAGACTTCAAAAGAACCACTCCAATTTGGGACACCAGCATGCTAGTTTGGTCAACTGGTTCCACAATCATTTTCTTTCTTTTCTTTTTTATTTTTATTTTTATGTTTTATGTTGTAACTTGTACTTAAAAAAGTAGGACACAGAGTGACAGATTAATTATTCCACCACCAAAGTAAAACGTACCTTAATTAAGAGTGAATTCTTCTTTAATTGCTAGGCATCTTTCCCTTGATTAAGGATTCATTAAACTCCAAACATTTGGATTGAGATGGAATTGCATGTCAAGCAAAGGTACACAAGGTGGAGTGAGTTGTGTAACCAATCCAATTATTGTTTTTTTAAGTTAAGCGGTCTTATCAACACCAAACAGGTATAAACATTTTAAAATATCCCCCAATCCCTATCAAAGCTCAAAAACAAAAATAATAACAATAAGACTTTGAAAATTTAAGTTCTGTTTACTCTTTTCTCCAACAAAAGCAATTCACAACTTATCTTCCAATGGTGATCACCACCAGAGATTATTTTGTTCGTATTGGTTGAATGTCTAAATCATAAGTGGCTCTTCATTTGTTTTTTCTTGAGGGGGAAAAGGTATAAGGTTGAGTCTCAATATATTATATATTCTTTTGTACAATATATTATCCAATTAAGATATATATAACATATAACATAATGTGTAGGTAAACTATTGGAGTAACGATAATGTTGTTTCTTGTTATCAGAAGGTTATAGTTCGAATATGAAAAATAAATCGGAATAAGATAAAGGTCCCACTACTTCTCTACAGCACATCAATTTGCGAGGATATGCTTGACCACGTCTAAATTAAGTGATAAAAAACACCAAATCTGAATAAATAAGCCAATGAAGACTAGTGGCCATGCACCTAATTATTGATGGGTTAGGAAGACAATAGATCCAGCAACACCTTTGTATAATTTAATTGTAACTTATGACATGATTAACCATATATGGTGGCTCTTCTGCATAGAGATTCTATCAATAATTGGATGTATGTACAAAAAAAAATTATTCGCGCATTCAACACAAGTTGGAGTTCATGTTCGAGGGACAAAAGCAAAAGGGGAAATATATATCCATCTCAAGAGAGCAAAATGACAAGAAAAATGATCACATCCTTACAATCACCATGTGATACTAACGAAGCATGTTCTTTCTCAAATGTCCCCACCAGGAAAACTTAAAAAGCAACTTGTGGAAAATGACTACAATAGCTTTAAGAAAACAATTCCTCAAATCTATGCAAATCTGGATTGTTTCTAATTCCTGTATGATTTGATAAAAGGTATGATTTATTTTATTTTATTTTATTTTATTTTTTTGGCACAGAAAAGTCTTTTGTGTGCAGTATCTCTGGGCCAAGCCTCCCAGTGGACAGTATCTTGGCTTTTGGCACAACTTGGAAATTTTAAGATCATATGTTCAGACTACCTAGATAAAAGAGTCGAAAAGGCATCTTATCATTTCTATGAAGCAGAGGTCTAGGGGTATGTTTTGGTTGATTATGTAAATAAAAGGCAGAAAGGCAGAATATAGAATTTAAATTAAGAGTTTCACGTTGTCATTTTAAATGATATACATTATGTCATTTTAAGAGAAAGATAAACACGAGAAATGAAAATTATGGGATGGAAAGTGAGTGGTTTTTTTTAATTTAAATTTTAAATAAAAAATAATTTCTTGTGTCTATCTCTCTCTTAAAATGACATAACTTTATATCATTTAAAATGACAAACATTTTTTCCTTAAATTAAAAAATTTCATTGTAAGTAAAATAAATATGTATAAGAAAAATATTTATCATTTTAAATGATATAACTTTGTTATTTTAAATAAAAATAACATTATTTTGATACATATTTAATGATTTTTTATATTCTCTCTCCTCCAAAATTAGAAAGAAAATGAAAGTGTAGGAGAAAGAATATAAAAAATATCAATTATATATCAAAACGACATCATTTCATCTAAAATTATACAAATTGTGTTCTTTAAAATAACAAATATTTTTTCAACATATATAGGGTTTGTTTTTTTGGCTGTAAATGCAGATAAAAGTATCTGCATTAATCCAAAATAACATCGTTTTAGAACTGAAATCGATGTATTTTTATAATTATAATTTATCATAAGGTTATAAAGTCTTTATTATTATAATTTTTCAATCTTTCAATTCAAAACGATATTATTTTGAGAGTAAAGGTAGATAACTAATCTACAATCACTATAGAAATATTAAAGCTATATATAATTTTTTGTATTCGGTGATTTAGAAATGTGAAATAAGTTTTATCTTCATTTTTTTCATTTCATTATTGGGAAAAAAGTATCTAATGTTACTTTAGACAATTTTATTTAATGTTCATCGAAACGACGTCGTTTTGGGGTTAAAAAATTAAAAAATTAGAAGGATAAAGACTATTATAACCCTGAAATAAATTAAAATTATAAAAACATCATGATTTCCGCCCCAAAACGACGCCGTTTCGATGAACATTAGATAAAGTTATCTAAAGTAACTTTAGAAAAAATAAACCCTTCATTATTTTTATTTAGTTAACTGATCACATCTTAATTGAAAACTGATATTTTTTTATAATTTTTTATTGTAAGCAGAGAGATGAGAATATATACCCACAAATAGGGTGAAAGTTGGCTGGGCTGGGCCAAGCTTTGTCCCGAAAAGCCCAAGTCTACGTAAAAAAATTTCAATTTGGTCTGGTCCAAGCCTAGTACGAGTCTAACTGTTAGTTAGGCTTGGCCCGTTTGTAAATAAAAAAAACAAATGGCCTGGCCTAGCCCGTTAGCCTGTTAATTTTTAACTTTCAAGCAGAACCATGAATCAACTTTACAAAAATACTCAAATTATGTTGCTAAACCAAAAATCATAATTTCAACGTCCAAACAGAATCATGAATCACAACAAAACTCATACAATCAGCATTTAAGTCAATTTCAAAAGCAAAATGCTCAAACTAAATAACATATATTTCATCAGATCCAACAAACAAATCTATACTATGTAAATTAAAATATCTACGTGAATCCAACAAACACACCATGATGCTTGTAATAAGTATAACATCTCCCAAAAACCTTTTAATATATTCATATGAGATGTTGGTTCCTCCTACATAAGAAATAAAGTCAGATTTCTATTAAAATATAATTAAGTTATAAATAATTGTAATTGATTAAATATATATCTTTTATTTTTTCTTCACGTCATACTTATTCTATTTTATTTTATTTAAAATAAATAATTCAATATAGGCCAGTCTATAGGCTTATAGGTCAGGCTTTGTGAAAGTGAGCCTACGGCATTTTTATTAAACAAGTTTTTTCAAGACCTAAATCTGACCTATTTTACAAAATATACTAGGTCACACATGACTTGACGTAAACCGAGCCGTAGGCCCGTGTACGTCGGCCCGATCCAGTTTCTCCCCTACCCACAAATGAATAATGAAATAAAGAACAGTATTTAGCCAAAAGAAAAGTATAGAATGAAAAACATACCAAAAATTAATAGCGCTTGCATGAAATAAATGTTGCCGAATGCTTCATTGCACCTGACAGGGGACAGGGGCTGCCAAATATAAAGAGTGATAATAAATAACACTAACCAACTATCAATTTTTTTTTTTCTGTGGTAAAACTATCCAACCCTAATCAATTCCATAATTTATATTTTGCCCAGAAAATCAACATCAAAGTACATCATCACGTGATGATAGACGAGTATAGATATGATGAAGTACTCAGTGAGGAAGGACAATTTCCTGGTATGAACATGAACTTTTTATTCATTAATTTCATCACACCTCTGTTGTGGTCATGTCAGTTTCAGTTCTGATGGGTTGTTTCCTTGGTTTCCCGCTTCTTTTTTTTGTCCATTGAAAACAACTAATAGTCTAATACTGTTACTTACCGATTAAAAAAAATAAAAAAGTGACCAACTAATAAATTGAACAAGTATCCCTGAAATAGTGAAACTGGATGAGTAGGGTGGAAATCAAATCACAGTAAATGCAATTCAGGTGAAATCAAACTGTACGATAAAGTTGAGTTAACAGGATTTTAAGCAACTTAAAATTGCCAAGTGATCAGAATAATTTTCTTACAATGTTGCAACAAGTTACCGATTTTTTTTCAAAGAAGAAAACTTACTATGGAGCAACAGATTTTTATTAAAAAAAAAAAAACATAACTAGACAAGCAATGATCGGAGCATGAGAAAAAAAAACAATTTATTATCAAAAACATGACACAAAAAGAGAAAGAGATCGACAGAAATTTACTTGGAAAAAATACTAAAATAAACTTAACGAAGTAAGAAATAAATTAAGGAAAAATGTTTGTTAAGACAGTCTGAACGAAAATTATTAGAAGTGTGGAGTATGAAAGGGTAAACTCATTTTTTTCATAGTGTTACATGATTCTTTTCAATCCTTATTTCTTAATTTATTTATGGAAAATATATTTCTCATGTTGTATGAGATTAATTGTCTCATATAACGTACAAAAAAATAGATAATTTTTTCTTCTTCTCATTAGTGGATCTCTTCCACTTTTGTGTATATTGCATGAGATAATTTGTCTCATACAACATGAAAAATATATTTTCATTTATTTATTAGCTATAATGTTTCTCTGGTTAGAGAAGATAAATATTTACTCTCACCCAAAACAATATCATTTTAGATTCGGAGAAAAGATTTGTCATGACAAAGAACACCAAAGTAAATTAAAATTATAAAAATATTTTGCCCTTCACTCCGCATTTCGGGATCAAAAGAGAAATATTGAATTCATATTTATTTATATTTTTCTCGAATTTACTTTTCTTTCTTGTACAATTATTTTTTCTCTTATTTATTTTTCATTTTATTTTATTTTTATTTTTTACTTTTATTTTAGTTCATCAACCGTTAACCATAATTAATTGGAATAAAAAATGTTGTTGATATTATTGATATTGATTTTCAATAGTCAAATATTGGATAAGAGTGTTTTATGAAATAACCACAAATAATAATAAAATATGAATAAGATTATAAATAAGTAAACCTTCGTATAACAACTTTCCTAATCCTTATTAGTTATTCATACAAACGAGGATTTCATAATAGTTAATTTTCATGAATCTAATGATTGTGATTATTAAATTATATTCATTAATTTTTATTAATTTTTAATAAATTATAATAGTTAAATACACAGAAATCAACTGTTAAAATTTAATATAATTTGATCATATCCCTTTCATATTTACAATAATTAACTTTTGTGTTACATTTGTATGGTAAAAAAATATGAGTTCTATTGGAGTTAAATATCTTCTATCATTGACATATGATATGGTGGGTCTATCGCCTATTAAAAACAAAAACAAAAAAGTGGTGAGACAAATTTTTATGGGCGAGAAGCATAAAATAGTTATCTTATATAAAATGAAACAATGATTTGCCAAAAAATATCTATCCAGAATGTCGTTGCTCCGTGACAAAGAACACCTTTCAAGGAATACATTTTGAATTTTATGAAAAGAAAAAAATGAGCATTGAAAAAACCTAATTCCCCTAAATAAATTTACCCGAATTAACTCATATTAGTCGGAATTTTAAATAATAACCAAATATAAGGGTTAAAATCTATTAAAATATAGTGGAGAATTAGAGAAAATGGGATATAAAGCAACCGAACCCCCACCGTGCCTACAAAGGCCATTAGGGAAAATAAAAATAAAAAATAAAAAGAGAAATGCTATATTACCAGAAATGAAAGTGTAATTCATAGAATAGGACAAAAGACAAGTCACCAATGATAGCTTTAAAATGACTAAAATATACAAAGATTTATTTATTTTTAAATTTTAATGGGTTAAAATCACAATCAACTTTAATCATTTCTCAAAATACAATCATGCTCTTGGGAAAACAAAAAGTTTAAATGAGATTAGATACTAATATCCTACCAGAGTCAAGAAAGACCCCCCAACTTCTTTGAAGATTTTCAGAAGGAATTACATATCACTCACCAAAAAAATCCTTATATTGACCAGTGAGATTTGAACCCACGCTCTTACGGAGTATGGAGCAACCTGCCCACCTTTGTTGCCAATACAATCATGCTCTTACTCATGGAATCGATGACTCAAAGTTCATTTTAGCAGAGTCAACCTTCCAAGTACATAACATCTATATGCTTATCTCATAAATTAAAAACTTGAAGCAATGATAACATTATCACAGCGTCTATCTAGTACACAGGTGAATCATATTCCGGAGAAGATACTAATCATACATACTCATTACAACATTGCTATGCCACTAGAATTGGTCCATTTGACATTAAAACTATACAAAACTATACATGTAAGCAAGCACCAAGAAAATTAGTGCTCAAGGTATACAAACTAGAAGGTTGGAAAATTGCATGGTATCAGGTCACACTTTCTTTAGAGCATTTTCACAACCCAAAGGTTATATTTTCTTATATACAAATATACAAGACAAGGTCCTATAAGATTTGCATCAGAAAGGGACTTACATAGCTTGAGGTAAGTATCTAAATTTCCAAATTGCTGAATCTTTTTCCTTAAACCTTGCAATACAGCTACCCTGTCCAAATATTCTGGATAGAATCCCAATTCAAGCATTTTCATGAGAGTCTCAGCTGCTTCATTAAAATGGCCACCTTTTATATAGCCTCTTAACAACCATGACATACTTTTCTTCTTCTGTGGTGAGCTTGCAACCTCAATCCGCATCAGAAGCCTCGCCGTGGCAGTAGCCTCCTTCTGTGAAGCACAAATGGCAAGAACAATGTCATAGAGATCTCCATCAGCTTCCTTACCTACAAGCTTCATCTCCCACAACTGCCTCTCAGCCTCAATTCCATGACCAGCACAAATATACATAGCAAGGAGCCTCTCATGAATCACTCCATGAAGTGATGAGCTTCCATCTTGAATCACCCAATTGGACAAACGCACTCCATCAGCTAGAAGTTCTGATTGATACTTCTCTGTGAGTTCAATATCTTCTGGAGATAATGCAGCTATCAACCCAGCCCTCACAAAACTTTTCAACTTGCGTAGAGCTTTGGCGAATTCATTCAGCTCCTTAACCACAGCAGTCATTGCAACAAGGTAACTGTAGACCTCTGGCTTCAAGCTAGATTCTCTAAAACGAATTACCAATCTAACAGCGCTTCTATAGTCACCTTCAACCTGGAAAAGAAAACATTTATATGGTAACTCATCCTTCAGATAGACACTTGGGAAGATTGTCTTGAAATGATACTGCAACAAGTTTCTGGGAAGAGTGATAAACGATGGGGCTATAAATTTGGTCATCTTAATATTGTTCTACAACTGGGCTAATACAATTGATAATTAGAAAAGAAATTCCCAAACCTTCCCTAACCCACGAAACAAAAAGCTGGCATTAAGTGCATACTGGAAATCATAGGCCAAAGATGCTAAAACCAAAGTCAGCTACGAGTCACGCATTGCTCTAGCAACTAATATGACTAAGAAATTTGGATTTTAAAATGAAGCTAGTATATTTGACTAAATGAAGATGAACAAACAACCAAAAGGAGCTGTTCCAGTTTCCAAAAAGCACTTGTGATAATAACCTGAAAGCTCCAAACAAGCTATTCTAAGTTTGGAAGGTTTCTAAGAAGGGAAAGAGAAGGAGTGGGAGAATGGGGACGCATTCCCCCTCCTTGAAAGAAACAGCTCAATTACATAACTCAAGAAAGACTAACCATAATAATGACAACCCACCAGCAAGAATGTCATCAATTTGACTCAAAGCAAAGCAATATCAGACAACCAATACACACCTAACAATGCAAAACAGAAAAATGTGAATTGAATTCCACAACTCGGATTAACAACCTCTAAGTCAAGGGAATCAAATGATTAACAACCCATATAATGATTCATTCCAGTAAGATGTTCTTTAAGACCAGATTCAAAGTTTCTCAACGAGAGCTAATTCTCCAAACAAAACATCAAAATAGCAAATGCTTACCATCATCTTCCAAGCAAGATACCCAGTTGGCCCTCCTTTATGCCCTTCAGTATCATCACCAGCATAAGGGATTCCACGCCTCAAAACCTCTTCCACAAACAAAACAGCACCTTCCTTCTCCCCCATTTCCCAATACAAGGAAATCACCTTCTCAATCATGCTAAAACCAGGCCTCAAACCCACACAATCCATGTCCACAAGCAAGGCAACCACATCACCCACACCATGCTGCTCCTGAATCAATTTCTTCACCCACCCACACATAATTGCAACCATGAGCTCCATGGTCTCCTTGTCCACCCTATTCTCCTTCCTAAGCCAATCAAACACCTCCAAAGCACACCATGAGTCCCTTCCATCCTGTGAGAAGTAAACTAGCACAAGCTGCAATTCCCTTGCAGAGAGACGGTCATTCATCTCTTCCAGAACATCAGAAGGTTCCCTTGTCATCCTCTCAAGCTCCTCAATTGCCTCCAAGAACCCATCACTAACCATTTCATCTTCTTCATCATCACTGGTCACGAATTGGTCCATTTCCACCGATTTGGTTCTCCTAAAACCTCTGATTGAGAAGCTGGGTTTTGCAGCAACAAAGGTAGGGTTTTGGAACAACTTGCACCCTCTGGCCACAACCCCATCACAGAATTTGAGGGAAAATTCACAGCGAGATGCTGGAAACAGAAAAGGGTGCCTCTCTTGAGGTAAAGACACAGAAGAAAACACAAAACCCAATTTCAATATAGGAGCAAACCCCGCATAAGCCATTTTTTCTTCACCCGGGTACTTCAATAAATTCAATTCAGTAGCACAGGGAAGTGTCCATCCACTGCAAGCACATAGAAAAATTATGGGAAGACGGAAAAGATTGAAACTTTGCTTCTGGGTTCACCGAATTCAACAAGTCAAATTTGAAACTCCACGAACAAAAAGAAAGAAAAAAAAAAAAAAAAGATTTTCCCACGATTTTCTCAGCATCCAAACAAGATGCTGCTTAAATTTAATCCATCCAACTAAGAAAGAAAGTGACTTCTTCGAAATAGAGAGAATTAAAAGATAATAATCATTGCCATAAAAATTCAAGGAAAGAGATTGAGGGGGCAAAAAATAAATTAGTTAGCATGTTTCTGTTTTGCCACTAAAACAAAGACAGAGACAGCTAAACTTGAAATTTGCAAAGGTTAGCGTTGTCATTTAAGGTGAGGATACGTGTAACAATGACCACTACAAGCACCGTTTAGTCCAAGAAATGAAACAAAAAATAACCATGGCACAAAAAAGAGAAGCGAGCTGAGAGGTATAAATTTGACTCTTGTTTGTTTTCTCATCGAGCTAATAGTATAATAATTTTAACAAGAATGTTAGGTCCTGGATAGACCGTATTACTATACCGTAGGATATGCGCTCAGAGATAGTGTATATCAATTGTATACTAGGCTTATAGCCGAGGTCTCAATCACTGCGCACAAGCAATAGGCTTATAGCCAAGAGGTGGGTGTGTGCACAGTGTGGGTAGAAGTAGTAAATGAGTTCTGAGTGTTTACCTGGGGTCCTTAGGCTCTTATTTATAGGATTACCTTCCTAGGCTTGGGCCTTTTGAGATTCCCCAATTGTAGTAGGATTCAACTCCCCTTCTGTTGGGATGTGATCCTTATCTTGTGCTATTTGGCTGTTTGGAGTTGTTGAGATGTTGATGACTCTGTATCTCACCAGATATTCTGATAGGTAGTTGGGATATGATATTCATATCCATAACAGTTTCCCCCAGCTCGGTATTCCGAGGTTCGGGCTGTCGAGGTGCTATTGTGTTACCTCGGATTCAGTTTTGTCCGGGTTCATTGATCTCGGGTTTGGAATTTTGAGTTTTTGAAGTCTGCGCTCTAACTCGGAGTTGCTTTCGTCAAGATCGTACGCGTAATTCCCCTTGATCTTCCTTGATGTTTGTATGTATAGTCGAGTGGGGGCATGTCAGATGCGACTTGAGCTCATTTTGAGATTTTGGATATCGTTGTTCCGAGTTTTAATTTCATTGTGCTGGACCGAGTTGACATTCTCGGTCATGTTGCGACCTTTGGCTATGATCTTTTGGTTGACCTTTTATTTGATTTGAGACTTCATGGCGCCATTGGAGCTCGGAAGTCGGGGCTTGGCCTCATCACATCTGCCTGACCTTTCGTGTCACACCTGCTGTGACGGTTACGACGATCCACGTGTTTTACGCTCGTTGGTGGTTTGTGCATCGTGCAGAGTGTGCTATGCTGAGCCTTGTGTAGGTCATGATTGAGCACATTGAATGCGTGCAAAAGTGATTTCGCTATTTTGCCCCTGGCTACTCGAACGGTTTGCAGCCTTTCCCTCTTCGCGCCTATGAATTTACTTCTTCTTTAAATACCAGCTTTTCAACCGGTATACGATTTTTGTTTCTCATGGGCTCTCTTCTTCCATTTCTGGTTTTGTGCCTTCGAAACTTTCTTGGAGCTCTTGTCAATTTCAGTGAAGGTTTTCGCGTGTTTGAGTTTAGTCCTCATCATCTTCACTTCCATATTCAGGTACCCTCACGTTCCTTCACTTTTATAAGTTTGTTTTTCGCTTGGTTTAAGTTGAATTTAATAGCTGTCCTCATTGGAAGCGAGGGTGGTGTTTATGTTCCGTCCTTTCAAATCCCCAGTTTCCTGTTTCCCTCTTCGGAGTGTTGTTTGGGGTTCGTGATGAGTGCCCCTAGCTCCTCTTCTGGCCAGGCTTCTGGTCGAGGTGATGAAGTGAGGGAGGAGGTAGTGAGGCGATTGCCTAGGTCGGTCCAGTACTGGCTTTTTGGTAAATAGTATACTGAGGAGGAGAAGCTTCAATAGCTTCTCCGTGGTCATAGGAGAAGTCATCGGAGATCCCGAGGTGGTCTTGGTAGGAGAGGGAGAGGTTGGATAGGAGGAGGTCGTCAAAGCCAACTTAGTTTTTCCACTAACCAGCCTCCTTTAGCGGATCCTTCACTGCCTAGGATGAGTTCCTCACCCGAGCCCGTCCCTTTGTCCTACATACTGCCGTCCTCCCAGGTGGCTCCGGGTTCGAGATCCATTCTAGATCGGATTCCTCCCCTTGGTTTGAGCGATAGCTCCTCCAGTCCTTCTTCGACCAAGCTAGGTTTTCCTGAATCAGTCGTCCCTTCTTGCTTCGATGACTCTGTTGCAAGTCGGGTACCATTTTTTGACCTCGTCAGCAGTTCTGAAAGCTCCATCCCATTTTCGTGGAGTCCATGCTCATTGTCGTCCGATCTCGATAGTCCTAGATCGGATTTGGATGATTTTTGTACTGATCCTCACCCTTCGTGTTCCAGGACCACGGCAATGGAGGAGTCCGATGTCCAGAATTGGGTCACTCACGAGGTCCTAAGCCTGCGGTCCACGATGTCTCCTGCTGACGTGGCCCAGCTTCCGGTTGGAGACCCCAGTGGGGTGGATATGCTCCCAGCGGGTGAGTATCAGGTGTGCACGGGGCCTATTTTAGACGAACCCTACTTTTTTTTACTTTATAGAGATCTGATCACTAGGTTAGGGATTCAGTTTCCCTTCACCGAGTTCCAGATGGCTGTAATTCGTAGACTTCGGGTTGCGCCTTCCCAACTCCATCCCAACTCCTGGGCCTTCATATGGGGTTTTGAACAAGTTTGCGCCTACCTCTGTCTTCCTTGTACATTTTGCCTCTTTCTACATTTTTTTTATGTGTATACAGCCCGGACTGGGGTCGAGGCTAAGGAGAGAAAGGGTTGGGTGACTTTCCGAGGCGCTCCAAATCAGGGTATTTTTATCCCCTACTCCTAATCTTTTAAGGGTTTTAAGGACGCCTACTTCAGGGTAGTAGCTCGTTCGAACTTCTTACCGTGGTTTGCCTCGTCTTGGGGAGACGATGGGGACTTGGCGAGTCGGTTCAAGCTTTACTGGACGCGGAGTCACTATCAACGGCGTCCTAGGGACTACGCTACTCTTGGAGTGGCCCTTTCCGACTCAGAGAGACTGGCGGCGTCTATCCTGGTTAGTTATGCCAGGAAATTCGGCATTATCGATCTGAGTCGGATTGTCGATAAATTTGGAGATGACCTCCTTTGTGAGCTTGGTATGTCGCTTTCTTTTACAACTTTTGTCAGACATGTGTTGTGATTTGAGTTCTAACCTTTGAAAAATCCTTTGCAGTTAGCATGATGAGCGAGGAATACAAGAAGTTTTTGCCCAAGCCAAAGAAGACTTCCAAAGGGAAAGCTAAAGTAGATCTTTCCTCCGAGGTCGAGTATACCAAGAGACGACGGATTGATGTCGGACAGGGCGATAGTTCGGCCACTGACGAGGTTATTTTAACCGATGTTTCGGCTTCCCTCTTTACATCTTCGCCATCTTCACTTCCTCCTCCTCCTTCCATTCCTCAGGGAGACCTGATTGTCTTGGAACCTGGAGAGTTGTGGAAGGTTGGGGTCTCAGACCGACTTAGGGCTGTGCTGAAGCCTCCTCAACAATTTATGGGCTCTTCATCCTTGACTTCCGAGATGAGGAGCACGTTAATCCGTCTGTAAGAGGATTCTCTGAAGGTGTCTTCCTTGCTCCAGTCGTTCCAAGACCTTCATCAAAGACTCGATTTGTCCTCAGCTTCCAACTTGTCCCTTGCTCTTAGGGTAGAAGGGCTGTTTGGAGAGAAATCCGAGTTGGAGAAGAGGGTTCATGCATTGAATTTGGAGCTGGAGGCGGCAAAGAAAACTGTAGAGTCGGCCAATGCTAAGGCGGAAGAGCTCAAGGTAGATAAAGATGCTCTTTTCAAGTCTGTGATCGACAAGGATGCTCAGATCCGCAAGCTGCAGACCGACTTTGATGAGGCTAAGGCCATAATCGTGAACGCAGCTACTGGGGCCTTTCCAATGCCATTGCTCAAGCCCAGGTTCTAAACCCTGGCCTTATTATTGACGGAATGGACGTTTCTTATGGTGTGAAGGACGACGCTATCATTCCTGGGACTCCGGGTTCAGATTCTGATGATGAAGAGACCGAAGCCGAGGTTAATGAAGCCGTTTCTCCTCACATGAGTTGATGAAGGGGTCGGAATGCCGACTTTCATTTTGTAACCTTGTTATGGGGCCCTTGAGCCCCTTTATTTTCTTGCCTGAACATAATTGCCGCTTTGGGTCGGCTTTACAACTTATGTTTTAATTTTCTTTTGCCGAGATCGTTGTTTACTTCTCTTTACTTATATGTTTGAAGTTCCATTACGATCTCGTCATATTTGACTTATGAATCGCCGAGGTTTTTTGTTAGCCGATCTAGGATTACTTTTCGTTCATCAACAAAAATTTTATTCCTTTTCGGTCGCGAAGCTCCTGAGGCTTCAATTACTTGCGTGGAAATCAATATGCATAAACGACAGGAATTAAATATTTGCTCATTTTATTTGCATTTCCAACGAAATCTCTTTACAAGAGCTGAGCTTAGAAGCTCGTTTTATTTACTTCGAAATAAATCTACCTACTGACTGAGCTTAATAGCTCGTCTTATTTACGTAGAAATAATTCTAACTATTGACCGAGCTTAAGAGCTCGACTCCTAATCTCGAACGTCGGACCTGTAACTTAACTATAGTAGGCCTTCAGCTTGTCCGCGTTCCAAGTTCTTTTTACTGGTTTCTTGGAGGTAGTTTCCAAGGTGTAGGCTCCTCTTCCCAGATTATCCTTGATCTTATAGGGGCCTTCCCAGTTTGCGGCGAGCTTCCCATCTCTGGCGTTTTTGTTGCCGATGTCTGCTCTCCTTAAGACTAAATCGCCGGCCTGGAATGACCGAGGTCTGACCTTCTTATTGAATCTAGCAGTTACTAGCCGCTTTGCCATCATATTCTTGTATCTGGCATTTTCCCTGCATTCATCAAGTAGGTCAAGTTCTACTAGGAGTGCTTCGTTGTTTTGGTCTTCGGTTCCTTGTAACCTCTGCACCCTCCTCCAGGACGGCTCACCGATCTCAACCGGGATCATGGCCTTGCACCCATATGTCAACTTTAAGGAGGTTTCTTCCGTGGCAGATTGGGCACTAGTCCTGTAACCCCATAGGACGAG